TTAGTTTACTTATTTTGCTATGTTCTTTGTGATAAATAAAATGGTTCAAAATCAATACGTTTATTATTGTTGATACAAAAAATACAAGAATAAATCAAAATTTTTTATATTCACATCACCTAATAAATTCCTAGTTTAAAAAAAGAATTTGAATTCAGTAAAATTTTGAGAGTTGGTTCTTAGCCCTGATTTTATGGTATCATGATTTTTTTTCCCATGTTTATTTAAAATTAGAAATTAAGGGTTTTATAATCACTATTTCTATTCTTTTAATTAGTAATTTGAATTTAAACCAATACCAATATAAACCAATACCAATAGCAATACCAATACAAGAAATAGAAAATATTGTTTAAACCAATACCAATATTTTAGACCCAATACCAATACAATATTTTGTTAATATTGGGTTTTTACTATTGGTTCCCAGCCCTACTACCAGTATACAAAATTTAAGAAAAATTGAAGGGGGTCGGGTTGAAAATCGACTTTTTTTTGTTGATTTGATATGGAATTCACCATAATATATACAAGAATTGAGAATAAAAATTTACCATTGACCATTTATTATGAGTTTTCTTCAAGATATAAAAGTTCGCAAGATAGCAGAACTCAGATTACACGAAAGATGCGACAGTAGCCACTGGACAACAATACACATACTCCTTAGGAGGGAAAAAGGATCTATAATGCAAAAAAAGATTCTCGAAATAGATAGACATAGAGAAAATGTAATATTTGAGCTCAAATACTTTTGTAAAGCTAATGTCTTCAAGAAACTTCCATCTATAACGCTAGACAACAACAAACCAATTGCTGACACAGATGAACAGATGGCGCTGTGGTTAGACCATTACATTGTTATTTTTGAATCAAGGAGATCAACCTGGCTATAATCCACTAGTCGAGACGCCGAGGAATCTTCTGCGAACTTCTCATCAGTTGAAATAGTTCCCGATAAACAAACTCAGGAATAACAAATCTCCGGGTTTCGATAATATTACTAGGGAACACCTGAAAGCTGATCCCTCAAAAGTATTTCTATTTCACGATTAATTTTTAATAAAATATGACTCACTGGGAAGATGCGGCTAGAACATGTCAAACTTTTACTACTTTCCTAAAATTTTTAAACCAACCAAATACAAGGATTAAAGAGTCATTGTTCTTACGTCGGTCAAATCAAAGGTTTTCATAGTCCGTCTAAAAACCGCATCCTCTCTTCCATACCAAGCCTGTTCTCCAAATTTATCTGCGCCTATCGTTCAGGGAGAAATATAATGGAACCAATTTTAACTTGAATATAATAATGCAAAAAAACGACTAATATAAGTTACTTTCTATTTCACATTCATAGGCTTTAAACGCGCCTTTGACAACGTTAGTCATGACTCTCTTTAGAACATCATAACAGAATGCGGAATTGATAATAACATCGTAAAATCCTCAAAACCTATTACTGCAGTTTTTTGCCGCCTTTAAAATTAATAAAATGCAAAATTTGAGCTCCTCTTTATAACCCCTTTTGTTGTTAAAAGTCTCACCTAGATACCTAGAGGATTTCATCACTTTGACCATTTTATCTCTTACTGCGAAGTTTTCTGGGATGGATGCATGATACGAGGGGCGTATCACTGTTTGTTAAAGTTTGTATCCTGACCGGCTTTAGAAGGAATTTAAAATATAATAAAATTACGAGTTTCTTCCAAACTTTTTTTTATCATTACTATATCCTGCGTAAGATATCATCTTATTTGTAACTGCTAAGCATCAGTGGACCTTAGCTCTAATAAATTTGTAGCCCAACATGTTTTATAATTTTGTTAATAACTAAATTAAACAGCAACGGGGAAATACACACACTTGTCTAATGCCTTTTTTTAATTCTAAAGGATGGGGACACTTTAATATTGATTTTAAAGGCGATAAAAATACAGCAGTATGAGTTTTAGGGGATTTTTATTATATTGTTATAAATGCCGCATTCTGCTGAAATTTTTCAAAAGAAGTCATGGCTAACGTTGTCAAGAGCTCGGTTGAAGTCAATAAAGGTAAAATAAAAAGGCAGCTAATATTTGTCAGATTTGCATTATTATCTTCAGAGCTAAAATCGGTTCACCAATATTTTTTCAAGGAAGATTAGTGTAGATAAATTTGGAGAAGGTTTGGTGTAGAAGAGAGGATACGGTTTTTTTAGAAGGACCATGAAAATTTTTGTTGCGATGGACGTAAGACTGATAGCTTAGTAATCTTTGAATTTAGTTGGGTTAGAAATTTAGAAGAAATTGTAGAATGTTGACATGTTCCAGTCGGTAGCATTAAATCGTTTATTAAAAATTACTAGTAAAAACTGCAATAACGTAGTAGAAGCGGCCTTCAGGTGTTACCCTGTAATGTTATCCAGCCCTGTGGATTTGTTGTTTCTAAGTTTGTTTATTGTAGCTACTATTTTTTCAGACGATAAGTCTGCAGATGTTTGCATGGTGTCTTGTCTAGTGGATAATATCAAGGTTGGACTCCTTGATTCAAAAATATTCATGTAATGGTTTAACCACACTGCCATCTGTTCATCTGAATCAGTTATAATTTTGTTGTTACGTAATAGATGGAAGTTTTTTGAAATTATTGGGTTTACAAAGCTTTATGTAAGCCTCAAATATTCTATTTTCTTTCATATCTTTGCCAATCTCAAAGACCTTCTTTTCAATGGAGATCATTCTGTCCCTTCTAAGGAGTATGTGTATTGTTGTCCAAAAGTTTGTCATATCTCCCTGAATATGATTTCCGCAATCTTATGAAGAGTGTCCTCCGATAACCTTTAATTTCTTGTGCTGAAGGTTTGAGGTCTTTATAAGCTGCGAATAAATCGTTTTTGAAGGACTAGCATTCATCTACAGAAGTTGACTCCAATGTCGTTAGAAAAACTACAGCTTTATCACTTAGACTTTGATCCAACTGTAACTTTACTTCCAATAGTTGTATATTTTTGACGCTCCTTGTCCTAGCGGGGTTTATGGACTGTTTGGGGTATATAACCGTTGGGGGATACCCCATAAATTCATTATAAGGAAAATCGTTAATTTGCTCTTTAGGCCATCATGTAAAGTGAAAACATAAGCAAACCTTCAAACCAATTAGACGCCGATTATTTGTAAATTTTTGTATATTTAATTTTGAGAAAAAGAAAGATGAAGACAAACAGGATAATTAAGAGGGTTTTCCGATGGCCTAGTCATATAATAATGTGTTTAAAAATGTTACAGGGTATAAATTGTACGTATAATTTTGCATGATTAGCTTGTTAATAATGATAACATTTATTTTATTAAAAAGATGATTTAGGTTATCAAGGTACTTAATAGCATGTGTTAATTTATATAGGGATTAGAAGATTAATTCCGTGTTTAGTTTAGAAAAAAATCAAAAGTGAAGGGAAAAGAGAAAGTACCTAATTTAAGAGAAATAAATGATGTGTGTTATTGGGTGGAAAAAATAAGATTGATTAGAGAGAGGAGGGTAACTTCCTAGTAAAAAGCCTTAATGATTGATTTCATGACAAGAGCGATTTCGAGGAAAAGGTTATTTGGAAAAAGATTATATGGGAGGTGGAAATATAGGATGGATAGGGGCAATATGTTAGGAGATAATATACAAATTTAAGAGTTTTCTATCTTAAGTAGTACAGTTCAAAGGAATTTTACAATAATGGCAGTGTCAGTAAATTTTATTATTACATATTTTTAGAGGCTTAGTTTAGTAAGTGTAAACTAGATTAAAGTTTAATAGGAAATAAATTTTATCCCTAATTTAAGATACAGAGAGGATTTCCTGTAGACTTTTATTATGGCGACCAACATGCTAGGTTATTAAATTCTAAAGATATTCGTAGTTTTCTACTGGATTGTGAATATTCTTAACGAGTTAGAGAGGTATGGAGTAAAATTTGAATTTCTTTTTTTATTATTTAAAAATTTATACCTCCATTTAAGTATATCATCTTGAAACCGAATAGTTTAATATAGAAGTGAAGACGTTAGTAGATTATATGTAATTGAATTTAAAGCAAATATTTGAATTTTAAGTTATAATAGAAAAATGATTAAAATTAAAAAATAAATTCAAACTTTTTAAAATAATTATAAGAACTTAGGAGAGGTGTCAATTAGTTATGATATCATACTATTTTCTTTTGTTTTGTTGCTATCTAAAATGGAAGCCGTTTATAGATTTTATTTATTATTGTTATGAATAATATTTTACTTTTTTAAATAATTTCTTTTGGGTGTAAGCCGATATTTTCCTTGTTTTTCATTAATTTCAAAAGGAATTGGAAGTAATAAAAGTGATTGATTAGTTCAGAGGGAAATTATATTTTATTCAAATTTTAGCTTTAAATTACATATAATCTACTAACGCCTTCCGCTATATGATATAAAACGACTCGGCTTGAAGATAGTATACTCAAATGGAGCGTCCTATTGGTAATAAAACAATGGCTTAAAGAGAAAATTAACGATTTTCCATAGACTTGAAAAAATGGACGTAATTGTGGTAAAAAGTATACAATGAACATTCAATAATTATATTTGCTCATATTGTAAAAATTTATAATTTTTTAAATTATTATAATGTGGAATATAATATAGAAAGCCTATAATTTTATATAAAGGGCTCATTGGGCCCCTATGGTAGGTGATGTTAAATTTTTTGCTGGTAAGCTAATGGTTAAATATATTAATATTATCCTCTTTATTTAACACAAATTAGAATGCTCATTATCTGCATGTTATAATCCTTATTTCATCACAATGAATAAATGGCATTTCATAATTTTACTTATACTGAATATATCATAAATGAGGATTAATTTTTATTGTAATTTCCTAGTTAAAAGTTTTTTTAATATGATTTTTTGCAGATATTTAGTATATACACTTAAAATACTTTTTTTTGGAAATGTAATTGTATTATATTCGAATACATTTTTTAAAGTTGCCTACCTAGGCGAGAATAAGGGCGGTGTGGCAGAGTTGGGACGGGTGTCGACCCCGTCCTCCTCGTCCATCATGCGCTCTAGTAGAGCCAAATCATTCTTGTCTATGGGTGCAATCGAAATATCCCTAACGGCCCGGAACTGGCCGCAGTTGTTGAGATGTTCGTTCTCGAGGCGAAAAAAGTTCCATACGAAACGCCTGATTGAAAAATATTTTTGTAATATAGAAAAAAGGAAGAATCAAAAAAAGTCAAAAATTGAACATTATAAATGGTGTTGTCATAGAGGAGATGGGGGTTATAGCGACACCTTAGAGTCCATAAAATTAAAATTATATTAAATTTTTTAAATTTATAAAATGTTTAAAAAAAATTTTTGGCAAAAATTTCTGAGGAGTTAGACACGCTCATAAGATTTAATTAAATTTAGGCGCAAACTTTATTATTTTTATCAATTAGCGTTCCTAAGAATATTCGATATTCAAGTCGGAATCGAATATCGCTTTCATATATTTAAATCAAATAAAAAATTTGATATTCGTCGTCATTCGTATTCCAATAATTTTGTTTTAATACTCATAATTATTAATTTTTTAATGTTAATATTTTCATATAAAATTTTATATTTTTATAAAAAGTATTGAATTTCTTACTATGCTCGTAATCATTTTTTTACTTCATGATTAAAAACATATATAAATTAGAACTAGTAGTAAAATGATTGACTAGTTTACTTATTTAAATTAAAATTACGTTACCCATCCAATTTTTAGCAACTGAATCCCTAATTCAGACGCTATTTTATCCAAATCCCTTTTGATTTTTGTTAGATTGGCTATATAAACTATATATAGTGTCAATAAAGGCTTTAAAATGGGTAACACTTTTTACGGCATAAGACACCGCTAATTCTAAATTATGATTTAAGTAGTTAGTATACACACCCTATTTCTGGTGCCCTCCCTAACCAAAGAACATTTTTTTGCAAAAAAATCTACACCCGACAGATTTAAAAAGATTTAGCAAGATAAGGACTATCTCCTCTAATTCCTTCATTTTCATAAAATCGGTATTTGGATCTTCTTACGGTGATCATATTTTTATATTTCTAGACCTAATTAAACTGGAATCCCGGTTTAGTCAATCGGCTGCTTTTGTTGATATAATTTGTATTTTTTTTTAAACTTTACTAAACACGACTTGTCAAAATTTGATGTGATTAACCAATTTCTCTTCGTTCCTCTGTTAACGAACTAATTAAAATAAGAAAGGGTAAGTTTTTGAAATTAAAAATGTATAATTATATTATTTTATTTATATAATATTTTATGTTTATTTCATGATAAAAAATAATAATATGCTAGAATATCATTATAAAACGTGCCCTTTTAGGAAAAGGGGACGTAAATTTTTGTTCCGATAGCCCTGCATATTTATATAATTACATTACGTTCTTTTTACATACTTACATAAATTAATTTATAGGTTTAAATAAGCTTATAAATATTTTTGCAATGGATTAAATAGTCTATATTATTTTTATTCAAGCAAATAATATTATTTATACTTTATAATTTGATAAACATTATGAAATTATTATAAATTTAAAATCAGAACACTAAACTTATATTATAAATGTAGACAACGATCGATATATTATTTAATCTTTCTAAAGTAATAATTATTGCATCAATATTTTTTTGCGTCAAGAAATACTGTTAAAAAGATTTCCCCGAAAGATCAGATTATTTTTCTAAAGATTCGAGTACTATTAGGTTACTTATTTTAGGAAAAGGTCCGATCTTGGTTCGTGAAAAATAAGACCGAAATAATTAATACAATATTATAAGGAAACCGGAAAAAAAAATAATTAAACATTTTGCCAAGGTCTCCGAGTCTATATGTTAAAATTTTTAAATCAAATTCCAGTATTACTGATTCAGATAAAATGCCTGTCAAGGGTCCGCGCATGGCTCTAGCTTATATCAAAAACATGCTACGAACCCTCCAAATTGTTTAAATTAAAAATAATATAGACCAGGGTTCTTATTATTAAATTATAACAAAAGTTAAAACTAGTAGGTTATGACCAAACTTACTCCTAATGTATTAATATTTAATTTACATATGTTCCAACTTGATTACCGATTTTCAAATTTTTAACCAGTAAAACATTTAGATAAAAAACCTATTGAAAGCTTTTTAAAACTTTTGTCTTTAAGAAACAAACTACTTAGCTTAGTAATTATTTATATACCGGACCTGGACAGAATTTTGTCGAACAAGGTCTATGTTAAGCGTGCCTAGACGGAACCCCATTGTAACTATTTTTTCAAAACTAGACCAGTATCGAACTCGGCAAAAATTTTGCATGAAATAGAACCCTGCTATAAATTTTATAAACTTATTCCTGCCCCATGATCTATTTGACATCATAAAACAAAAATGTAACAAAAATACTTCGTATTTTAATAACAACCAATAACATGTGTTTTTATTTTTGAAATCCAATCATTAAATTTTAGTCAATTGTTAAATTTTGGAACTTTATATCTAATATTTAATTATATCATTCATTATAAGGGGTAAGTGTAATATTATGATGATTTCTTAGTTAAAATTAATTATTTAAATTTATGCTCACATAATAATTTTTAATACTATTTCTCAAAGGCATTTATAAATTTTTAAAAAAATCCATTTTTAAATATGGCTAAAAAAAATTTATAAAATTATTTTTACATATCAATCAATTTTAATGTCTTAAAAAGATTTTTAAATAATCAAATGTCATCTATACGTTTTTTTTATACATCGCGACATTTTTTAAAATAATTACCCAGCCGCGCTAATTATTCAATAAATTATTAGAAAAATGTAAAAGATAGAAATTAAAAATATTGGAGCACATAATATATTCGAAATTTATTGATTTAGTTATTAACATTAGATTCAATATTTAAACTATTTGGTTTTTAATTTAAAAAATAATTATAACAAGAGTAAAAGGTAAAAAAGAAGATTTTTGTACCTTTAATCCCCATTATTCTGATAATATAATTGCTATTGAGCTAAAATTACGTTTTTGATATAACTTTAACAAATATGACGTGCCTACAAATTTTTACCGAAATTAAAATAGGTCGGCCGAAAATTTCGATTTTCTTGCTCATTTGACATGGAAAACCCAAAATAATAAGAGAAAATTAGATATGGAAGAAATCCTATATGTCGTTAAATTTATTATTGCAATGAGACGCAGCTCATTCAAGCAATATATAAAATTAAAACCCAATAAATGAGGTGTCAAAGTTTTTGCTTTCTCCACATTTTGATGAATATTATTTAAAAATTTATGTTGGCAAGCAAACAATTTCTATATCTGTTAAAAATTATTATGGTAGTTATGAGTATGACTATAAATTTTTACATTTTTGCATGAATATGTAGTAATGTATAATTAGCATCTTTACCTGGTATTACATGTAACTGGTCAATCACGTATATTATATATAACATCTGGAATTAGCGTAGATATTACAGAACATTTTTACAAGCTTATTTAGATGGTATTCTCGCTTTCTTTTTTTCAGGTGATAACAGCGTTTTTACTATGTGCGATTTAAATTCTATTAATTTCATATATCTGATCTCCGTGCTTTGCACTAATTACCGGCAACATAGCAAGAATTAATCATGCATACATCTAAGATGAAAAACAATTCCTAGCTAAAACATTTTTCCTTTAATATAAATCAAACCAACCAGCATATAGTGTAAGTCACCCCCTCCTACCAAACATTTATTGTTAATTTTTGATAAACTAGGTTTACTCACTTGTATATATTTTTTTTGTCACTCAATGACCATTTCTTTACTTTTTCTATCGGTTCAACACCAACAAAAGATGGTATAATATGTATAAATTTATTGTCACACCCTTATAATTATATGATCGTTTTTTAAAATGTTTTATAGTTTTTATCCAATATACAGATATCTTCCGCTATCCATTTTATATCTTTTAAGATACGAATACTTCCTTTATCTTTTTGATTATCTCGTTCAATTTGTAAGGAAGTGATGAAGTTAAAATTGTTTCATCAATTTGACAATGACATATTCTCCAATATCCGAGTCATCGAGGTCACCTAATATATCTCCTTCTAATAATTTTATATTGATTGACATCTATAAATTATATAAATAAAATTTTAAGAAAAAGTCAACTGAATCAGAAGTCCGTAGGACCAGGACAAGCTTAAAGTTAAATGACCTGAATTCGAATATATATTTTGGTAAAATATAATTTTATTTCTAAAAATTAAGTATAAATACAAAATATTTGAAAAAAATATCTAAAATTCCAGTTATTTTGGAATTATAAATTTAAAATTGATATAATATAAATAAAGTAAAATAAATTTTAACTAAAATAATAATCATCATAATATTATACTGTTACACCTTATATAATGAATAATAATTAAATAATTCGTAGAAATCTTTATGGTAAATATAAATAATAGTTACAATTTACAAAATTTATCAAAATGGATAAAATTATATGATTGGATTAAATTTAATATATTTGCATTTATTTGTAAATACGAGATCGTTTTCTTATATTTTTATTTTTTGGACTTTTATAATAAAAAAATATATAATTACATTTTATGATATTAAATTAATTCATGGGGGAAGGAAAGAGCTAAGCCGCCTTTTTTTAGGAAAATTAATATTGTGATATAACAAATTTTTTATAAGAACTATCCTTTTTATGGCTGAGCGAGTTGAATAAATTATTATTAATGTGATGTAATATATTTTTTTGGTATTTAGGAATAAAAGGATAAGCGTGTACCAACTCCGGACTCCCCGGCTTATTCCAAAATTCTGAAAGAAATAAAATGCTAGAAAAAAACAAACTCAAAATTATTACCTAAAGACCTCCAAAGGAGCGAGAATAGAAATGAGAATATCCGCTTCGAGCAACTCTTCCTTTCCGACAGATACTGTTAGGGTCCACGCGAATCTAAGAACTAAATCTTCTATCATGGCAAAGTAGTAATAGGACTAATAATATTAGGAGGGAATTTAAAAATATTAATTTTCACGGCAAGATTTATCTTCAAATTTTATGACAATGAAAAGGCAAGAAGAATTCCTTTTCTATAGTGCCATATGCAGTGTAATCAAAATTCTAGACCAAACGATTTTTAAAACTGAAAAGGTCTAGAAGACCGATTACATGAAACCAAACAGCGTTAGGCCGGATTTTGACCATGCATGCCTGATGTATTTCCGCTTCTTAATTTTCATATTCAAACCCTCTTTCTTTACATTTCCTTGTTTATGTTAAATCATCCTATTCATATGGTGTTTGGCTTAAGCCTCTTCTAAACGTTATTTTCTCAATAATTTAGATTTCAATTCATTTTTAATTAGTTCAAGTTTTTCTTGCATTCATAATACTTGTTAATTCGTTTTAAGATAATAACTAAATTTTTAATAAACTTTCGTTAACAATCTTCTGTAAGACCTATTAGATTCATCTGAAGTTTTCTTTCGATTTGTACTTATTTAGCTAAATATGGGTATAATTGAATAACATTTTTTCCAAAAAAAAATTTGTGGCAAATATTTTTTTAAAAACCTTTTTTGAATATACCATCTGCTCCCTCAACAATCTATTCTCCGGTGGTGTGTTAGGCTCTAACAAACCCCAATCTCTCTTGATATCCCAGGCGTAGGCGTAAAGCGAGCTAACTATCGCCGAACCTATCCAAAAGTACAGGGTCAAGTCACTGCTCAGGGATTTTTCTTGGCGTGAGTTGGATTTTTATTAATTTAAAATATAAAAATAAGAATATGGTAGGTCATTCTATAAAATAAAAAGCATATGAATAATTATTTATGAAAAGTTAGAGTTCAACATATTACTAACATTTTTTAGTTTCAATTAATTGCATAAAATAAATTTATTAATCAAACGGCCTTGTCTATTAGTTAAATAAAACAGATACATATGGCTATTTCGAATATGAATTTGATTTTATTGGTGGAAAACTCTGTGTCTCGGTCTGAAACAGATTTTCAAAGACCAAACCGAACCGCAAACCTTAATGTAAAGACCAACTCAAACTGACCACAATATAAAACCCAAACTGGACCATGGTCTGAACGGATTTCTATTTTGAATACCCATAAAAGGCAAAATATAGGTATTATAAAATTGAAAAAATTTATTTGTAAATATCAAAATAATAAATTATGATAATTAACACAACCGTAATCATTAACTTCAGATGGTAAAGTGAAAGGGGAGTGCTCCTCCTAATTTTTTTATTTAAATGAATTTAAGGTTGGGTTGCGTACGACATTTTTTAGCAATAAAACATAAAATTTAACCTTTTTTAATATTTACTTTAATGGGCATCCGATAATTTACAAATAAGCTCCCATAATATAAACAGTGGCGCTTCTGGTCACTATATATTATAATAATAAAATCAGTTTCATTAAGAATAGATTAAAAAATTTCTTCATTCTATATTCTATTTTTAGGTAATAATCATGATGGAATTGTATCATTTAGCCTTATAATTCTATTTATCTTTGTTACTAAATCCTGCTTAGAAAATAGGGGTGTTCCTTAGGTTGTACCTTGGCTACTGGTGTTTATCCATCTCATAAAAAATGAGCCCATATAGATAATCAGGCTCAAAATTTACATAACTATCATATATTTTTATCAAGCTAAATATTAATGAGATTTTATTTCCAAATGATTGAATATTTAATTTTTATAATCCTAGAGTTTTTTTCCACTTACCAATTACACTGACTAAAAATTGAGAAATTTTTATAGGTAAGCTAAGGCGGCGTTTTAAAGTTATTTACAATGAGAAATAAAACCAACACCATTTATAAAGCATGGCCGCTTCATATTATTGAAAATGTCGATTGCTAAAGCAAGTTTAGAATTATACAATACCAAAAAACGTTTTTTGATATTTGTAGAAAAATAATGCCTAGAGAAAAACAAAAATTTAACTTCAAAGAATTGTCTAATTATAAATTATTTACTATGAAAATTTAAAGTAATGTATATTATTTTTTTACATGTTAAATTTATCCAATATTTATGCAATAGCAAATAACTCTTCAAATGAAGTTGTTCTCAAATAAAAAACAAGATTTTATTTTACTAAAATAAGAGTATATAAATAAAATGCAAAAAAATAAGCAAAGACAAAACTAATATCAAAACAATTTTGAATAGTTCGATTTTTGTGTCCTATATGATTATCTCTGGACCGTTCTGGTTGATCTGAGTCTATCTAGTCCAAAATAACCTTTCCGATATACAAGGTTAAGGACCATTTGATCCAAACTTTTGATTATACAAGTATGAAAAATAATACAATGTTTGTTCAAAAAAATATATCACATCGGGTTAAAATGGGTGCTGTATCGAAAATTAGGAACCCATTAGTTAAGTTTTTTTATAGATAAAAATATTTGAAATATAAATATTAAGTAATCTAAATCATTGATTTTACTAGGTTGAAAGGTGTGAAGGGTAGAAAACAAAACCACGAAAAACGTTGTGGAATATTTTCCTGCGTTGACCAGATGAGGGTAGGCTTGTTTGGAATCACGGTAACGCCTGAGGCATTGAAAAAAACGAAACCAAGCTGGAAGCATGGCAATGACTGGCCGAACGCCGTAAGAGTTCGTGAAACAAACGCCCGTTTCTTTCCATTTAATATGGGATCAAAATACAACATTATATAATTAGTGTGCATACAAAGTGAAGAAATCAAAAATAGAAAGAAATACCACTCATTATATCAACGATTACTTTTTTCCGTTTTCTCCACTATATTTCCATCATTTTCCCTTTATTTTATCTACCCCTCCTTTCTCCTTTTCTGCATTATAAATTTTATTTTTCCTTATGTTTTCCTCTCAACTTCAAGTGTTTACTTCTCTCAGGCAACCATTCGACCTCTATAGCGTAAAAACAGAACAAATATTCGAAATCCAGAAACACGGTCACGAGACTGTTGAGTTGATCAGCTAACCAAAAGTCGGCGAATCCCACGTGGTAAAACGGGGCATTGCATATGCGCCACTAAATAAAACAAAGGTCAAGGTTCATAAAGAGAGTCAAGACGAAGAAAGAAAGATAATATTAGAAAATGTTAGAGGGTTACTAATATCCTAAGTAGCCAAAATCGAGATCGATAGTAGAGAGTAGGGGTAGGGTTAAGCAAAAATAGGATGTAAATGGCCACCAGTACAAGCGGACTCAGAAGGGCAGGTATACGCAACGGTTCACTAAAAAGGTACACCAGCACAGCCAGAGCCCATATTACTCCCAAGATACTGGCGATCTGAAAATATTTTTCAATAAAACTAAATTAATAAATAATAACAATCTACTCCTTTTTCTTATTTCTTTTCTTAAAAATCTTGATTCCTTTCTTATATTAATTCACACTTATATCTTTTTTAACTAAAAAAAAATAGGAGGGGAGGAGTTGCTTACTTCGAGTATTTGTTGGTCGGTAAGATGGTTCCGCGGATCTATTTCGAAAATGAGTACATGATTGACACCTGTTATTTTAAAATCATGTCAAAGACAATTTTAATATAAAAACAAATAAATCATTCATGTTTTAAGTGTTGTTAAAATATTTACGAAAATAAAATATATATTTAAGTCAAATCACACATTATCTAAATTTTAATTAGAACTTGCTAAGCCATTTCGGCTTAGCTGTTGTCAATGAAAATTTTTCAGCCCGGTTAAGGCTAATTCGTTTTGAAAGGTTGAGCGAGCTCTGTCTATTCTTTTCTTTTTTTCTAATCTATTACTCATGTTTAAGTTCTTTATTTCTCTCTAATCCTTTTTATAAACAGCTTAATTAGCCTAACTTGTTACATTTCTCTTTCTGAAAACTTAGAAAATGATATGCAAAAATAAATAAAAATTATTTTTATTAAAAATACCTGCACTCTGCCACCCGTAAGTGTTTATGCCGAGGAGATAAGTGAATAGAACGACGAGAAATGCGCCTCGAAAAATTCGGACAGCCGGACGCCAATCATTCTTATGATCTGTGAAGATTGCTGGGAATCACAAAAAAGAACCGGGGTGGGAGTCAAAATTTTTTTTAAAATAATAGTAGGTTGATGAGCCAATTATAAGAAGTTTAATATTTCGAAATTATAGTAACTTGAATATTAGTGATTTATCTGCATTAATAATTTATATAAAAAATTATTAGAAGAAAAACTGACTGATTTTTTGCGAAATTTAATTTAAAATTATTAAAAGAAACAAAATAACAGTATATGCAATAAATCAGTGGATCTCGATATAAAAGGACCTTTTTTTATTTATAAAACTTCCATCCTTATTCCTAATGATTATATTGTTTGGTAAGTAAGTCGCAAATTAGAGCCCAACTTTCATTTTTTTTTCGCCATTTCCTTGTAACTATATATAATTTAATAGTGCTGGAAAGTTATGTCGAAGAATGTAACGTTTTTTGGGGATAAAATAATGTAAAACATATGTTTAAAATCAAGAAGAAAATGTTGTAGTTATGGTCTAATGTTACTCTCAAAATTATTATAAATTATCTTATCTTGATTCATTATCTTGTTTTGATATTTTATCTGATGCTAATATTTTATAAATTATCGTTTGGATTAAAAGGATGATTTTATATTTGCATAACTATAATTACAATATTTTTATTTTGTCAGAGTTTATGCCGATTTTTCGTGGATAATTTTTATTATAAAGATTGAAGTTTGTAAAATTTAAGGAACAATAAAACCAATAGTACAAAGTAATTGAGCGACCCTAAACGCGTTATGTTCATGCGGTGCGCTTAAGCCAAAAAATAGGTATAATTTATTAATAAGGAGCGTTATGCGTTAAGATGATAACGCTCCATTGTTTGCGTTATTTGAAAACATTATGATGATAACGCTCCAATGTTTGCGTTATTTGAAAAAATTTAACGCTCAATGTGTCATCGTTAACGCTATGAAGAATGAGCTGTAATTTCGATGCATAACGCGTTTAGTATAAATTAGGCCTTCGGTTATGCAGATTACAAGATATCTATAAACTCATAAATAATTACTTTAAGTATCCTTTGCATGGATAGAGCAATTAATGGCTAATTTAAATGGAGCCACTATAGTTACGAAAATAGAAATATCTAACGCCTATCTGCAGATTAGTGAATGACAAAGCCAGCGAAATGTTAACAATTAAGATTATGGTTGTTAAACCCGGGTATAATTCCTGGGAATATTATCGTTAACGCAAACGTTACTCATTACTTTAAAAAAAATTCTTAAAAAATATATTATATTATTATTTATAAATAATTTAAGCTGAGTTTTTAATTCCAATCAGCCACCAAGGTTTCTTCATTTATATTATATTATTAAGTTTTTGTTATTGTATTTTATACAAGATTGTTAATCTAATCTCTAATATTATCATTTATTATATGTCAATGCCACTTATTTTTTTCAGTTGATCTCTGCCCTGGCTCAGTATGAAATTTTTTTTAACACAAATAAAGAAAATTAAGAGCACTAAGTCTACACTTTGTATGTGTAGATTGTGTCCTCAAAAATTTCAACAACATGTCCAGCAGCATCTAAAAAACAGAAGGTAAAAATATGAATTCATATTATATTCTGATAAAGATATTTTAAAAAACTGGATGAGGTTCTCAATAAGATTCTTGTGAAGATGATCTAACAAGGTTTTTTGAGAATAAAGATCATCCTTTAAATATTTTTAATAAATTCTTCCAAATAATAATTTTTATGTATTTATAATATAATCCTCCTATCCTCTGCGCCAATTAATCGTGTGTTTAGCATAGCGAAAGTTACATTGCAAGCGCTTTTATTTATTTTATCAAAATTTTGATCACTTGTTAAAAATAAATATATAGTTATTACAAAAATAACTATCTTATAATATATTATTTTTGCATAATTTAATTTTATTATCTATGGGGAAAAATATAGATAAGCAGAAAATGTATATAAATATTTAGTAATTTTTTAAGTAACGTGTTACATTTTTGAACAGCCAATAACTACGCTCCTTTTTTTCACAAGGTAAATAGTAATGGTAATGAGTTCCTTTTTCACGTAACGAGTAACGCGTTTTTTTATTGAAGTAATCTTTACACTAGTTGAACCTCATGGTAATTCCTCATGGAATTCACTTTAAATAAATTATTCAAATCAATAATTTTTTTAAAAAACTTTATTGGAAAGAAAAGTAGATTACATTCTTATGAGGCAGAATTTTGATCAAGAGTCATGAGGAAGCATACCGATCAGTTGGCTATTTAAATCAAATTTATATTTATTTCCACACCTTGAAATATATAGATATGAAATAATAATATTCATAAAACCGAATAGCGATATTTATATCTCTCCATTTCGAGAAAATTGGCAGATTAAATCTTATAGACCATTAGAACGAAAGAAAAAAATAATAAATGGGCTATAAGACAACAAACTATTTAATAGCAAGTCAAGATTTGTGCGGATAGGTCTGCTGTCCTTTTCAAATAACCTCTCTCAATTTTTCACGATCTTAGGCACCCTTAATATTATTATAAGTGGCTGTTAGTTCACATATTGCCAGCGTTGTTTTTCGCCGGATCGAACCAAAAGGCCTGACTAACCTAGTCTTGATGGGGATAATGACAGTTTGGCTCGATCTGGTTATTTAAAAACACCCACTCCAATACTCAAGTCATGAATCATTATGTTTCGTGAAATGGTTTTATGAAATATAACTATAAAATTTATATCAATATGCATTGGAATAGATTTGTGCTCACATTAAAAGGAAATGTTAGCTATTTGTATAATATATATATAATATAAATAACATTAAAATAAATTAAACCCGCTAATATGATAACTATAACCAGGATTCCGAACATCCCCAAGAAAAGACCCAATCTAAAAGAAGTCCACAAAGATTTCTGAGAAATGATAAGGAAATAAATAACATAAAAAATTTATCTCTATTTTTTTATTATTCTAATGATTTCTTTCCTTATTTACGCATATTTTTCATTCCTTCCCTTATTTAATTATATTTTTTCGTTCCCAACAAGCTTATAATTATATTTTCATATTTGCTATATATGAACTTCGCTAATTATAAATATATCATAACTTGTTCGCTGAGTGGTGGAACCCTGAGTCTTTTCATGGCTTTCGTCCTATCACCGGCAACCAAAACATTCGTGTACAGAGTCTGCATTATGAGCGTACAAATTGCAAATATTTTTTTTTTAATATAAAGTGTATTTTATTTTTTTAAAACTTGCCCAATAATTATAAAATATATAAGGGTTCATACTTCGACATCTTGGATGAAGCGGTTTATGTCTTGATTGACGTAGAAAGGTGCATTGTCAACGTTTTGGATTTTCCATTTGTTGCCAGTATCGGTAGAAAACAACTATATATTTTTTAAAAACTCGTTTTAGTTTTTATAGTTATTTTATATAAGATAAAGGTAGTAATAACTCTAAGAGGTTGCGTGCCAGGCAAAAAAATATTTGAACCAGGCTAGGCAAATTGTTATGGGTATATAGTAGGTCCAAAACCTAACCCTTAAAATTGAAAATATTTCCGGATCGGCCTAAAAAAACTTTTTAAATATCGGCCAGCCTTGGCTATCTTTATTACATTTGTCTTTAAAATGTGCATAATTTATATTTTTTAATTACAAAGAATGGGATGGCTGGTTTAAAAATAAGAATTCGTAATGGGTCTAAAAATTTCAAAATATTTTAGACAGGGCTCGAAGCTGTAAAGATTTATCTTGCAAAAAATTTTAAGGCTAAATTAAGATAATTAGTATTTTCCTTCATAAATTATTATGTGCCGGGTCAAACAACTTGTACAAAATATTTTTTACGAGCCGAACAAAAATAATCATGTGCAGGGCCGAAAACTCGATAAAAATTATTTACGGGTTGGTTTGCGCTGGCCATGGTCAACCTATATTCTATGTTTTAAATAATAACTCGTTAACAAATTCAGTAAAAAGCGCTTAGGGGAAAGGGGAATGTAATAAATAAAATAACATTAAAAAGAAAAGAAATAAATAAGTTGGTTAACTAGCATTCTTTTTAAGATAGTTAAAGAACTAATAGTTTAATTTTGAAAGGAAGAATGGGGGTGGGAGATTTTTCGACAGCCTTGTGGATCCGCCGAATTTTTAGAGTAATTTATGTTAAGCCTTCAAATATTATTGATAAAATAATTTATGATTCTTGCCTAAAAAACTTAAATGAAATTTAAAAAATCGGTAATAAATCTTGATGAAGGTGGTTCAAATGCGACTGCGTCAGTAAAATCTCAGGAAGTATTTCATATGCGCAAATTTTTGACACAGTTGCTTAATTAAAAGTTTTAGTATTTTATCTTATTTTATATATTGTGTAATCTTATAAAAAAATATTCAATTTTATTTTTTTTTATTAATACTATTCATATTATTTATTAAGCCATAAAAATAACTAATATCTAGAAATGTATGCCGCCGGTCAAATACACCGCTGCCGGTGATTTTTGACTACGCAGACGTCGCCGCCAAAAAGTGTTAGCGCTCAACACACCCCCGCCGATGTAAAAATTCGGCGGCGTGGAGGCGTGATACATATTTTTTATTATTGACAATAATATTTATTTTATATATTATTTATGAATTGTAATTAGAAGAAATATTATATATTTTTTGATTTATTAAAAAATGCGATTTTATTTTTTAAAATTAATATATATTATTTGCTATAAAAAGATTTGATTTGTAACAATCCATATAAACATATTCGCTCACTTTAAGCAGGTCTGTCACCAACGTGCTAGATAGGTTGAGATAAAATTAGGCAGTAATTTACAGAAAAGGTTATGAAATATTATTATATATTTTATTCTTTTAATTTTTGATGTTTCAAATATTTTGTATAAGACCATCAATTATTATATAAGGAGTAATACAATATTTTCTTAATGCCAACTCATCATATACAATATTTTTTTATCATATAAGGAAATTTTAATTAATGATTTTTATTTTATTGTCAATATAACATATATAAACCAGGACAAAAATAATTATGGAGGTATTGCAATACCATGTAACAAAATACAGTATATCCTTGCAAGTAAAACCTTCTTTTGCATGGAAACATTTTGGATCCTTAATATTAAAAACTTGCACAAATAATAAAAGAACCAGAGTTGCTGCAGATAAGTCTTTTGTAATATATGATTGCAAATTGCACTTGATAAAGATGGTGAGGATGAAAATAATTATTCATTTTCAAAGTAAATTTTTTGATTATTTTTAAATATTTGTGAATTTTTTAATTAGTTATCCAATCAAATCTTTATCAAAAAATATCAGCAAAACAAACATTACTTGACAAACATGACTTATGTAAAGAAGAAATTCTAAACAAATTTAAAATTATTTTTCAAACCCATTGTAAAAGATACAACTGACCCTATAAAAGATAAAAAATAGAAATAATACGGAATGCAAGATTTTCTAAAGGTTATTTGTAAAATCATTATAATTTTTTATAGAGCAATCTTTATTTTTATTTTAACTGTTAAATTATTTAATTATTTTATAATAGAATATTTAAATAATACATCTCATCCCACATTTACAATTTTTTAAGGCATAATGTTTTCATTATTTACTTTTTATTATGAAATATGGTATTATTTCAGATACAAAAGATTTACTAGATAGAACAGCACTTAACCAAAGTGGATTAGATGATATGTATTTATCAATGAAAGCATACATATGTCAGCTATAACATTTGATATGTGGACCGACAAATATCTACAGCGAAATTATATTACCTTTATATTACACGAAATAGATATTAAATTTAGTATTATATTTTATACATTGGCGACACATCATATCCCTCAAAAACATACCGCTGAAACTATTCTTTCCGAGATAAAAAAAGTTGAAAATGAATTTGATTTAGGGTCCAAAAAAATTCAAATGGTTACGGACGCAGGACGTAAAGAAAAGTGTTGGACTAGGAGAATATGACCATTATTTATGTTTGGGGCATGAATTACATAATCTAGACAGTCGATGGAATAAAAAAAAGTTAATAAAATAGAAAATCTCATTAAAAAAGTGAGAGAAATTATAGTTGCCTGATTAAACAGCGGATTTTGAAAATATAAACGAGATCGAAAATAGGAAATGTTTTGAATCGATATCATTTACATCGGATATTTTAGAATTAGATGATAATGATCCTTTTTATGAAGATCGTTTGGGGTTTGATGATGATAGTGCAAATCAAAAATCATATGAGAAAGAACATAAAACCTTAAAATTAAATGTGCCTACACGTTGGTATAGTATTTTAATAATGCTGAAAAGTGTGAGTGGCATTAACAAAAATACTATAAATATTTTATTAAATAGAATGGAGAAACCGGATCTCAAACTATTTAATTGTTGCATGAACTTTTAAATTTTCTTAAAACCATCAAAAAAAATTGTTGCATTTAATTGTAAAAGAGTATAATAGTCCTCCTATAGCATCCCTTAAACAAAATCTGCATACAAAATTTGATCAATAACCGATCATCAGGTAATATTTTAAAATATATAAATTAATTTTTTTTATATTATTTCTCTTTATTTTATTTTTTTACTTAGGTGTTAGGAGGACTTTTGGATTCTCGTTTTCAATCGATAAACATAGTAAAAGAATATTTAAAGGAAAAAATATTACTCCGGAGCAATTTTTATGTCAACACGCTACCTCTATGTTGTCTTCGGACGAATTAACTGAATGTGAAACAATGAAAGTTGCTTCAGAATTCGACTATCAGTCATTGGCTACGAAACATTCATCTACTGATAACAATAACCTGGAAAAACAAGACTATTTAACTAGTCTAGAAAAAAGAGTGTTATTCATTATTTTCGCCTTATAATTTAGAGATAAAAGTTATCTTAGATTTTTGGAAGATAAGAGCATTGGATTTTCCTAAACTTTCAATATTCGCTAGAAAGGTCTTGTGCGTTCCAGCTATGAGCATACCCAGCGAGCATGTATTTTCCATTTCTGAGTTCGCTCTGAACTCTAAAAGATAATTATTATGCCCTATATAAATAAAATAATATTTATACATGATAAACTTAATAAAATCATTAAATTATAGTTATAAACATAATATTATTTTTAAAGTGTTTCCAATGAATTTTTAATTTAAATTAAAACATTTAAGTTAGAAAAATATTTTACGCCGCTGAGCGGCCATCGATTTTTGTGGCGGCGTTTAAAAAAAAGAAACGCCTCCGCCGATACTGTCGGCGCATATGTCTACTTATACCTATTTTATGGAATTTGTTTATTATTTAAAAGTGGAAAAGGGGAATTTATCGGTGTGATCGAAGGGGGGGGGGGAAGCAATTTTTAAAATTTCTGTCATACTAACACAGCAATTCAATGATAATATCAATTTATTTTAAAATATTAATTTAAATTAACATGCGCCTCAATGGTTCCAAATGGGCCTTAGCCCTAGGTGATTGGTATTTCATGCTAATTGCTCAAATGGGTATAAGGGGGTCACTGAAAATTACAGTATGCCATAGAAGAAATCTCATATTAATTATATAGAAATCAAAAGTCTGGACCAGACAACTTACTCACGATCGCGGTATAAGTAGTCATGCAGGCTCGGATCATTATAATAAAGGTCCAGTTCATGGCTCAATAAATAGTAATGTTATCTTTCCTTCATATTCTTCCTTTCTTGCTTGATAGAATAAATATATGAAAAGTTTTTTTTAAATCAGAAGGTGGAAAATAATATTTCCTAATTTCATTTAAAGCTTTTTGCAATCTAGTTAACTTGATTAAGAGTTCACCTGTTTTAAGGACAGTTTAGCTAGACGCCGAGCCACAGGTGGGGTCTACTCTAATTAAAAAAATTACCACCAGGTTTTGGGTGGACGCAGGCCAAAAAAAATCGTTGCAGGTCTCTAGTATAGAGCACGAATAAATGGTAACCTTTCTTCCTCCCCCACATCGTTCTTGTATTACAACTTTTTTTAAGATCCGAACCGATTTTCCCGTTTAATTTACTAAAAAATTCAAAAATAACATGCTATAGCAATGTGCCAAACGAAGTGGAATTCGAAGTCACTACTGCATGAGAAAAATTCGAATAAAAAAATGAAATGACAATTATGTAGAAATATATAGATGTTTATTTTAAATTAAAAATAGTCTCTCTGCACTTTTATAATTTGAAGAGGAAAGATTTTTAAAAATGGTGTATAAAGAAAATATCATTTAATATTTTTTTTATAATTTTTTAATATTCAATTTTAAAGTTTTATACTAAAATAATATTTAATTCAATTTTATAAAATCATTGTTCAATAAAAAAAATGGAGAAGTTATTTCATAATCTGCAAATGAAACATAATTTTATTAAAAAAAATAAAATCACATTTAAATAGTGTTGTAAACGAACGCGTTCAAACGAAGTTCGTTTTTTTGAAAAAAGGTGATGAACGGCGTTCCTTTTTTTTGACGAACTTTGAACGTGAACGCGTTCCTTTTCTTTGATGAACGAGTTCAATTTTACGTTCGTTCAATTTTAAAAACACTTTTTATTTTTATTTATTTGAAAAATAAATATTAATCCGCATTTTTTAACAAAAAAGTCTTATATTTTTATTTATTTAAAAAATTAATATTTAATCCAATTTTTTAACAAGTCATATTTTTTAATCAGCTGTTTTTACTTTTTCCTCTTTCATATTGCAATTAACGTACCATAACGTGCTACTGCTAGAGAAGATAAGATTAAAGTTTATTCATTTGAATATTTTATATTTTAATTTAATAGATTAGCATTTGCATGGATATAAATATTTCATCATCAGATTCTGAAAATCAAAATTCAATATTAGATGAATTAGAATTACAATGGCCCAAATATCAAAAATATTTTACTGTTTTAAAATCAAAAGGTAATTCAATAGTTACCAAATGTAAAATGTGTCCAAAAAGTATTATATCAGTGTCAACATCTTCAAGCTCCAATTTAAAAAGACATCAGATTGTAACATTAATTATTTTATATTATATAATATGTATAACTATATAGCCAGTTAATAATTTATTTTAATTGTTCTAAGTAAAAATAATTACATAATATATATATAGTTAATTATAATAAGGCATTTTAATATTAATATTAGTCCATTCTTAGCATAGATATGAAAGAAACTAGTATTTTTATGGGAGCTAATTTTGTTTGTCAATGTATTTAAAATTGGGGAAAATAAGATATATATTGTGATATGTAAAATTTTAAAAAACATAAATATTAAAAAGAATATATCTTTTGTCAAGAAAATGAAAAAAATTCTTTTCAGACTAGTTAAAAATGTCAAAAAGTACTGAGTACAAGATACAAAAGGATCTTGTATCTTAGATACAAGTATTTGTGGTACTGCCAAACACTGATTTTAGAATTATTTTATAAGTCATAATGCTATTACCAATTTAATAAAATAATATTATCTGTAGCATAATTTATCAAAAATTCCTTAATTTTTACAGAGTTCTCATGATAGTATGATGCAAGAAATTAATGATCATTTAACAAATTATAGTGATACAATTTTAAAAAAAAGTAAAGACTGAGAAATTTAAACAACAGACACTCTTAAATTATAAAAAAAATGCATCAAATGTGATTCAATCACAAATTGATGATGCAATAATTAACTTTATAGAAGAACTAGAGCCTTTTAATATTGTCGAAAAACCTGCTTTTGTAAAAATGATAATCACATTACAACCAAATAGTTATGTCACGCCCGACCCTTGTGTCAAAAATATCAAAAGATTATAATATCATGATAGATAAAATGATAACTTGTTTAGGCAATCAAACAATTCTTTGCATCACAGCAGATTCATGGTCATCATACCATCGGTATTTTGTACATTAAACTTTGAATATATCAATTTGTTTATATTATTAGTTCGTTTTTAGGCATGACTGTACACTGGTTAGATGCTGTCACTTTAGAAATAAAATCGGAATGGTTAGCTTGCCAAAGGCTAACTATCAAACACACATATGATTATTTAGCTGAAACAATTTCAAACCTTCTAAAGAAATTTAAAATACATAATAAGGTAACATTATGTGTCACTGATAATGCAAGAAACTTTTTAAAGGCCTTTAGGTATAAATAAATACTCTATATTTTAATTTTTATATTTAAAAAAAATTATAGATGATTTGAGAAAATATCTGAAGATGAGGAAGATGAAATTGAATCATTATCATTAAATGAGGTGTTTGAAAATCAAAATAGGGAGAAAAACTTTATCTATCTCCCCAAACATCACTCTTGTGCTTGCCACAATCTTAATTTAGTGGCAAGTGTTGATGCTGAAAAAGCATTAGAAGATGTATCTTTTAAAAGAATATTAAATAGTGCATTTGATAAATGCAAAAGTTTATGGAACAAACAAAATCAGTCAACATCATTTGCTGCAGACTTAAAGAGTAATTTTTCAAGATTACTTATTAGGTCTGTTATTACCCGATGGAATTCTTATTATAATTCTTTGGAATTAATAGATTCCTTAGTAAAAGAAAATTCTAGTTTGTTTGACAAAGTCTGTGATATGGGAGGATTAGCTAGACTCTCAAACAATGATAAAAATTTTTTGGAAGAGTACTGTATTGTAAGTCCTAATAAAATTTTTTAGAATAAATATTATAATGAATTTTTTTAAATATTAAAATAGATCATGGAGCCTATTGCAACAGCTCTCACTATTTTAGAAAGTGAGGAAAAGATGCATTTGGGATATTTGACCCCGACAATAACAATAGTTATTATAAAATTAAACAAACTCAGTGGTCTAAAATATGGGCAACCATTGATAGTTGCTGTATTAAATGGGATTAATAAAAGGTATTAAACCTATCACTATCAAATTAATTACATATATTTTATTTTTTTAAAGATTTCAACATATATATGAAGATCAATATCTTCTTTCAGCAATTATACATCCGATATTCAAGCTTCAATGGCCTTGGATAAAGCTTCCACAAAATACCTTTAAAGAATAAACTTATAGCTCTTTTGAAAAAAGGCATTGAAACCCCAAGAATTGATAATGAAAGAAATGTCAATTCCGAGATATCTTTTTTTTGACGAGGAAGAAGAGGGCAGATTGGAGGATGATAACATAGCTCAATTTTTTGAAACAATGGATAAAACATTAAATGTTTTTAATAAATTCCCCCTTTTAAAAGAATTGTTTATCAAGTATAACACCGCAATCCCTTCATCTGCCCCTGTTGAGCGAGTTTTTAAGGCTGTATTAACTGCCAAGCGTTCATGCCTATCAGATGAAAATTTTGAAAAGCAATTATTATTAAAAATTAATAAGAAATTTTTTTTATAAATTTATTTTTTTATCGCTCTATTATATTGTATTTATAATTATATTATCAAAATAAAACTATTATTTTTTATCATGGCTAATATATTGTGTTGAAAAATATAAGGCATTTATTTATATTAAATTTTAAAAAAAATTTATCATAAAATTTTGAACGCGTTCCTTTTTTGAATTTGAACGTGAACGCGTTCGATTTTTGTCAATGAACGTTGAACGCGTTCGATTTTTTTAAAAATGTTTACAGCACTACATTTAAATTATATTAATGTTAAAAGCGGGTAAACTTAAAATTCTAAAAAATTTTTATAATATTTCTGGTCAGGGTGTTATTATAAATATTAATAAATAATTAAATCAGATGTTACTTTTTAAATCATTGATTTAAATAAAAATTTTGAGGTTCTATCATATTATTTTATATAAACAAAACTTAAATTTTGTAAAGCTTATTCATACAATTTTTTGCTAATCTTACCGCTGTAATAAGAGAAAATTGTTTAATATATCTATTTCATCTTTCTTATTTCAGTGTATATAATTGATTTGGATATGGTGTTGGTTATAGTACTTTTTGAATTTATAATTTTATCAATGTTTACACCTTGAAGCGGAACTAATAATCGTACTGGATGAATATGCACTTTTATTATAACAAAGGAACTTTTAAACATTTATCTTGATTTAAAATCAAAATGTAAATCACCAGGAATTTCATCTTTTACCTTTTCAATATTACCATTTGATTCCTTATTTTTATCTGCATAAGATATGATGTTTCTTGAAATAAGTTCTTATAATTTATGATTACATTTTTTTATAAACTGATAGAAACTTCTTTCCTTTCACTAAACCTCATTAAAACAATTCTAAATAATATCCTTTTACGCCCATCTTATAAATAAAAAACATTTTCCACCGATGAATTCATTATAAAATTAATCAATCATACTCATAATATATAATAAAAAAGTTATATTTTACTCATAATCAACTGGTAGGTTAGGTAATAATTACGCTATAAAAAATTAAAATATTATATTTAAAAAAAAATAAAAGTCTGATTTAAATACATCCTATGGGAGTTTAAAATGAAAACCAGCGGGCAATAAAAATATAGTGTTTTTTATGAATCACTTAGAAATTTACATTCCTTCCCTTGAATATTCGCGTGAAAAAGAGAAAATAAAAGATGGGAATAGTGTTACAATTATACACTAATTTATGAGTTTTTACCTTGTCGTGCTTTTTGAGTATCTTTCGAAAGCCTGTATAATTGAGTTGTTGGTAATTCTGTAGCAACACCAGACTGAGGTAGTACTCCGAGAAGGCTAGCTTGAGGTCGTCCGCTTTCTTCTTGTTTTTCCCGTTCCCACTTTCTCCCGAGAGCGCAAGCCAACGGATCCAGCCCTGAGAAGCACGGGCTGCCTCGGCGGTATGACGATTCTTGTCCAATGCGTAGAGGGAGGCGCACAATTTGTGAGCACCTTTAGTGTCCGGAGAAGATTCGGCAAAAACGCTTAGTTCAAATTTCAAGGAGGCCAGCTTGCGAGTAGCTTCTGCCAGCTTCTCTGATTTTTAAAATAATAAATAAATCAATAAGCTAGAAAATTGACCAAGATACAGGGAGGATACTAAGTTTGGCTTAAATGCTATGTAAAAAATCAAAAACTGAAATTACCCGCAAAGAATGTATTAATCTTGGTAAGTTCGGACTCGCAAAAATTAAAAAATTCTTCATCAAAATTGATCTGGAAACGTTCTTGTTCAGCATGGCTAAAACCTAGGTTAATTTTTTGTAAAGAAAAATTAAGTCGGAAAAAAAATTTAACGTGTCAATGTTTTATATTCAATAATATTTATTTAAGTAGAGAATTTATTAGTTTTCTTTCTTTTTTTATTTCTTTCTTTTCATTTCACTCTCTTCTCATTCTATCAATTCTTTCGTTTTTTCCCATATTTATATCTTTTGCCATTGCATAAATTTTCTTTCCAAATCATAAAGAGGGGAGGGGGGATTAAGAGCACCTTAACTTCGTCGTAATTTCAAATCTTCTAGAAGCTTTAGACTAAAAAGACCCGTCTTGTTATTTTTAAAATATTTTCGTTTCTACCTAATTTAATTCTTGTTTTATCATTTTATTGAATATAAAAATATTTTATATTAATAATATTAAATCATCATATGAATAATACAGCTATTTATTATTTAAAAATAAAATGCTTTTTTAACAAACTTTTCGTTTTAATAGTATATTGTAAAATAAAAATGAACTAAAAAAAATAAATAACTCCTCTAGAAAAGTAATATGAAATAAAAATTTAATAATAAATTATAAGGATTGAATAAGGCAAAATTAAATATTAATAAAAAAACCGGCCCGGTGACGGTCTATGACCAATAGGGCCGGAGCGTTTACTTTCACTAAAGTGTATTTTGTTTTTTTATTCCTCAAAAGCTAATCAACTCATTTAAAATATGGATGCTTATAGCTGAAATGTGACTCTTATATTTTTAAATCCCATTTTTTGCAAAGCAATTTTAACTATTTTCTTTTAAAATAATTCAATTTTTTTCAAACATTACAATTACAAATAAATGAAATGTGGTTTCTTATTTATTATTATTAGAAAATTATGTATAAAATCAAAAAAAAATAGGGCTGTGTCGATATTAAATATCGGAACTTATATTTAACGTTCTTAAAGCATATCGAATCGAGTCGATACTTAAAACCGATCCGATCTTTTTATTGTTTTTTGTTATTTTAAAATTTTAAAATTTTTTTATTTATTTATATAAATTATAATTCGCCCATTTCATTATCTAATTTAAGCAATGATCTTTCATTTATTATTATAAATTTTTTTAAGATGGCATATGAATTATGAAAATTTTATACAATAAATATTAGATAATTTTTCAGGGAACGTAAAGAGTCCTCCACATTGTAGAATTTTATAAAGCTCATTTTTATTAAATCAATAAGTTATAGTAATAATATATATTAAATATAACTATTTTGATATTTCTACCAACATATATATACTGTTTAAAATAAAATGCGTAGAGTTACATATATATTTTTGATATATAATATATATAAGCCTTGTCACGCTGTGACAGTCACACTTTCACAATTTATAATATATAATATTTAAAAAATCATTAATTTTGAAAAGTGTCTGTGGCCCAATCGGTCGTCGTTTACAAATCTAATGGACTTAGGTTCGAGCAAAAAAAAATTTCTTAATCATGCAAAATATTTTTTTTCTTCTTAATCTGGATTCAAAGTTTGTGGATAGTTTAAAACTTATACTTTTAAATTTTTAATATTCTTTTAAAAAATATGAGTCCAATAAAAATCACAATAGAATCATATCTTATCAATCCTTCATTCATCTTCCATTACCATAAATCCATTACCATCTTATACATCATCATATATATATATATACTAGAACTAACTGATATATCTATAATATATATAAAAGACGTCAAACTCTCAGTGTCAGTCACATCACAAAAATCGTGAATTTTGAAAAGTGTCTATGGCCTAATCGGTAAGAGTGTCGATTACAAATCTGATAGACTTAGGTTCGAATCTCAACAATGATTATTTTTTTTTCTTAATTCAACTTGGTGGTTCCGTCCTTTGAGATGTTAACAAAATTCTCATTAGACCTGAAAATGTTGTCATTTGCAGACCTCTGGTGGTAAATGCATGGGAAAATAAAAGTGGCAGACGCATATCATTTATAAATGGATTCTTTGGCAGAGGTAAAATCCAATATGATCTGCTGTTTCTGATGTCATCCTGATTAGAGGTCTGCAATGGGCAAGTTTTGGTACATCTGCCTGCTCACTTATTTAAAAATTTTGTTTAACTTGCCTGTCCAATGTATAAAAATTATTATATTGGCTGATTTGGCTCTTTATGTATTATTTAAATGTTTTTTACTTAAACTTATTTTATATAATAAAAAAATACTAATAATATCTATCTATAATAATAATAATATATATGAAAGCCGTGTCACAGTCACAATGTCACTGTATCACAATTTATAATATATATTTAAAAATTCACGATTTTTTAAAAGCGTCTGTGGCCTAATCGACAAGTGCCTCGCTCACAAATTTGAAGGTCATGGTGTTCGAATCCCAGTAAAGATTTTTTTTACTTAATCTGGCAAAATTAATTAAATAGAAGATAAAAGAATTAGTGTTACATATTCACATACGATTCAAAGTTTTTTGCTATAAAATTTAAACTATTAAATAGGTATTCTTATATTTTAAACTTTTTCACAACGTAATAGCCAATAGTATTTTTAAGCATCATACCATATCAAACACTCATTCATCAAAGCATCCATTAAAATAATATCTAACATTACCATCTCACACATCTTATACATCATAAACATATATCTATAATAATATATATATATAAGCGGTGTGATAGTCACAGTGTCACAATTTATCATATATATTTAAAAAATCGTCAACTTTGAAAAGCTGGCCTAATCGGCAAGAGCGTCGCTTACGAATCTGATGGCTTTGGGTTCGAATCCCAGAAATGCATTTTTTTTGTTAATCCAACTTTGTATATTTTTTTTAATTATATTAATTTCCTTATTTTTTAAATTTTTATTATTTATATACTCAATAAAAAAATTAATTTTGCTAGATGAGGGTTTTGTATATTGTTATCATGGAAACAGATTTCGGATTTGGACTTAATAAGAATGAGTCTTTTAAAATTGGCGCATCACATATTGTTCCATCATCAAGATACCAAATATTTATATCCAAATCAAATTTAGATTTAAGATAGACAATGGATGATATAATGAATACCACGGTAATATAAACGAAAACGTTTTCCCCCTGCTGAATCCTTTTGTCAGAATCTATGACAAGTGGGCTGAATAAAGGAGTTTTAATGTTGTATGTCTCTAGGAATTTTGAATAAACAGGAAATAAACAATTTATGAAATGTTAACGAAATTTGCTATTGAAAGCATAGCCATGTTAGGAGGAGGATTTTGGAATACAAATGGCATGCGAAGCTATGCCTTCTCTCTTAACACCAAATCCTAATTGATAAGTATACTTAATAAGTTAAGACTCTGGTTTTTGACCCATGGAATTATTTTTGCTAATAATCTTCTAAATAGCTCATTGCAATGGGGTGGATACCACCACAGTGTTTGTGAGAATCAGGTGCCCCCATAATTGATTCAAATCTATGATGGCAGGTATTTTTTTAAAGAGTATTTAGGAAGGTTTTAAAAGCATTTAAATAATTTTTTGAGAAGAATGTAGATTTTAAACAAAGTGAGAGAGCAAAAACCATTGCTTCTGGATGTGGAAAATTTCCTAAAAGAATTGATAATTATCATAACTCACAAATCATATTTTTTTATTCCATATTTTTCATAATATATTTGGTCTTAAAAATTTATAGAAATCTTGGAAGGATGAATACGGATAATCTATTCCTCTCATTTGACTATTGATTCATCCATCATCAAATGAAGGTAAGATTTATTATTTATCCATACGGAGAAAATTCTGATTACCCGTCATTCTTGACGGGCTATCAGCTATTATATTATAATTAGGGATAATGACAGGGGTAATTTCCCCTATAGTTTCCTCAATATTTATAATGTGTTTTTTGCTTAAATCAACATGATTTTTATAATATTAACATTTTCCCAATTTTTAATAATGGTCTTAAGATAAAATAAATATGATTTTTATTATATTTTATAAAAACATTTTTTCTTGTGGTTCAAATCATAAGTTATAATTGAGTTTTATTTTTGAATATGTTCTTCATTTCCTTATCTCCATTTGCAAAATTCTAGAAGATACTTGTTAAAATTAAATATCTAGTCTAAAAAGATATTTATATTATAAATAAATACAAATGAAATTTATAAATAATATAAGAAATTTTAAAAGTTATTTTTAGTAGAGAATATTTATAGTAATCAATTTCACAGTTTTTAAATCAATGTGTTCAGTTTTTAGTTGAAACTTTTAGTTTTAATTAATTTATTTACAGTCATCAAATCAATATATATAACATATATACTATATTAAAGTTTTTAAATTGCTCATGTTTGACCTTATAGATGCCTAGAAAGTATACAGATGTTTGGTCCTATTTTTATAGATACAAAGCTCAGATAAGAAGGGCTGTATGCAGTGTGCAAATACTGCAATTTAGAATACACTCCCAACTCAACAAAGATGACAATACATATTTCTAAATGCAATAGATATCTTAGAACATTAAGTAATTAACAACTATAGGTCCAGTAGAAGTTCAAATCATAACCCCACCAAATAATAATGTTGCTGATTTCAGTGAAAGACCAACTATATCTTCCAATATTAATTCTAATAAAAATGATAATATAAACAAAAAAATCAGTACTTTCAAACAAATAATTTAATGATAATACATTGATAATAAAACAACAAAAAAACAGTAAACTGGATATTGAATTTGCACAAACCATCTTTATGTCAAATTGTCTATTTTTAATAACCCATTGTTTGTATGGAAGAGACTATTTCAATCCTTAAGACCTGCTTTTAAAATGTCTTCCAGATATTTACTAAGCAAAAATTTATTAGACAGTGAATTTAAAAGGATCAAACATATATTAAATGAAAAATTCGATAAAAGCAAACATTTGACTCTCATTAGTGATGGGTGGACAAATATAAGAGGGGAATGCATTATCAACTTTATTCTGGTAACCCTTTGTCCCATTTTCTATATATCGATTGACACAGGAACAAACATGCATACAGGGGAATACATATCAAATGAATTTACCAAAGTAATTGAAGAGATGGGAATTTCAAAAATCAACACCATAATAACTGACAATATAGGTAATATGAAAAAGCATGGACCCTTGTAAAAATGAAATATCCAACTATTAAATGCATTCGATGTGCCGCTCATGGATTAAATGTACTTCTATAGGATATAGAAAATAAAATATTCTCGATTGAAATTTTAGTCACAAAAACTAAAAATATCATCAAATATGTAAAATCTAACAATATTCTATCAACCTTAAAAGAAAAACAACGCCTAAGAAATAATAATAAAATTGTTTCCCTAAGGTTGCCTAGCCCAACTCGTTGGGCAGGTATAGTTTTGATGATAAATAGCTTGTTAAAAAATAAAGATATTCTACTGGATGGCAATTCTTGATATATTTTCTGATCCTCGATAACGATGGGTTTTTAAATGATCTAATACAAGTATACAATATTATAAAAGTTATATTTACACAAATAGAGATAGTGGAAGTAGATAACCAATTTACCTAATGTCCATCAAGCATTTATTCATACCAAGGAGACATTTAACGATTATAAAACAATATCAAATCTATTGTTACAGAACAAGCTTTCAGAAATTGAGCAGTTTATTAAAAACCGAAAAAAATTTTGTTGCCAGGACATACATTACGCTTCTCATATATTTGACCCAAGGTTTTGCGGATTTAATTTAAGAGACAGGTTGCAAAGGGGTTGGATAATATTAACCGATTTCTGGATATCTAGATTTCGATATTGCGAGAGTAATGGAAAATTTCTGCAAATGACAAATTGTTGGATTCTAGAATTTCAAGCTCTGGTCTGGAATTATTTTCTTCTTCAAACGAAGATAACTATAAATTAGTCAAAATTAGTTTAAATATTGTTTATAGTCAATAAATTTCAAATAAAACATGTAAAGAAATCACAAATTAGTTGAAATTAAATCATATTTGTTTAATTATAATGTTTATAATCTATATATTTTCAATAAAACATGAAAAAAAACAATACTGACCTGTAATAAAGTATTATAAAAAATATAATTTCTCGTTTTTCATCAAATTTCCGCTAAATATAGTTTCCCGGGAATTTACATCCCTAATTATAATATTTATTTTTTTTAAATTTTGGTTTCAATTAGAAATAAAAATATTACGGTTTGACTAAACTACAAATGCCAAGGTAAACTGCAAATGCTTAGGTAAAAATTTCTCTTAATTGGAGCGAGGTTCATTTTCTTATTCAAAATTATATTATTAGATATATTCAATAATAAATGAATAGACATTAATAGTTGTATTTCCTTTTATCTCATAATAAAGAGTTTAAATCCTTTAGTATAATTAAATTAAAATAATTATAATTACATTTTAAATTTCATTAATATTAAATCCGCAAGTTGACGTATTATTATTTCTATCTAATAATATAATTTTTATAAGTTATTCATATCATAAGAAAATGAATCTCACTCCAATTAATAGAGAATATGTCAAAAAATTTTACCTAAGCATTTGCAATTTACTTTGGCATTTGCAGTTTAGTCAAACATGTGAAACATGTCAAACACCTTTTAAATAATAATATATGATTTTAAAATATAATAAAACAAAGAAAATTTGTAATTTTTTTTCTTAAAATAATAATACGCCAACTTGCGGATTTAATATTAATGAAATTTAAAATGTAATTATAATTATTTTTAATTTATTTATATTAAAGGATTTAAACTATTTATTATGAGATAAAAGGAAATATAACTATTAATATCTATTCATTTTTTATTGATTATATCTAATAATATAATTTATATAAGTTATAAATATCATAAGAAAATGAATCTTACTCCAATTAATTATATATCAAAATTTTTTACCTAAGCATTTGCAGTTTACCTTGGCATTTGCAGTGCAGTTTACCTTAGCATTTGCAGTTTATCAAACCCAAAATATTAAATTCATAATTCAATTTTTTGCATGGAAAAAATGGATTTTTATATCAAACTTGGTTGAAAATTAGATAATAATAAATATTGGATAGGTTTTGAACGAATATCGGGAAATATAATGAAAAAGTGAATAGGCATAGCCTTATAAAAAAATATAATATATGATAAAATAACCAAAAAAAATAATATCGGTCCTATTCAATTTTTTAAAAAAAGGTAAATATCGGCATTGCTCAATCCGAATATCGGCACCGCACTAAAATATTTTTAAACTAATTTCGGACTAATGTATTGAAAAAATATTATTTTGTCTATAAAAGGTTGTATTTTTCTTCAAAATTCATAAAACAATTAATCATATTAGATTTATTGCATAAAATTAACAGGGCAAGAAAAGAAAGTCAAAAAATTTCCTTAGGCAATTATATTTCCTTTTAATTCATTGTCATAAAAGGACACTTGTCAATTAAGTTATAGATAAAAAGTTTATATATTTTTCCTTTCTTTTATATACTTCTTTTTTAATCAAGATATATAACATAATGATATATCTAAGAAACTAATTTGGGAAAGGGGTGGGGGGGGGGGGATAATTGGAATATAAGTTAACAAAACTTTAAAATATTTGAACCTCCTTCGGTGTATTCTTTTTCCTTGGCGTACAGCATATGTTTCATGTCCTGTGAAAAGGGGATATAAATATAAATTTTATTAACTCAAGAAAATGCTATATACAAATTGGATCATTAAATCATTATAGTGTTTTAAAATTTTTGTTACAAAATAGCTGGTTATCGCCATATCTGGTGGTCAGCTCTTTCATATTTTTAATTCCAATTTAAAGCTTTCAAAACACCTCTTTATCAATCTTAATCCTGCCCTTTAATTAGATATTCCCATTTTGTAGTTTAGAATCTTCTCTTTTTTTTCATCTAATATTCAAACCACCAATCCTTTAATCTCTTAGATAATTAACCACCAGATGGAATGCCATCTTATTCGACAAATATATTATGGAATAAAACAAACATAGATTGACTTATATTTTCAAACATTAAGTTTTAAGCCATTTATAATTATTAATAGTGGTATTTTTATTTTAAGCATTTTTTCTCTTTAAATATTTTTTACCACTCTGAAAATCTTCATATGAACAGTTTTTGATGCTCCTTACAAAATATCTAAAATTTGTAAAATAAATTTATAGCAACATTTAAAATAATTAAATACAAGTTTTTAGCCACAATTTTAAAAAAATTTATAAATTAAAAATTAATTTTATTGAAAATACATGGAATAGTTTACTTAGGGCTATAAAATGAGCCATGATAGATATATATAGTGCATCTAATATTAAGGTTATCCCAATTTTAAAAAATCATTTTATTAGAAAAATGACCAAACAGAGCCACTTTACCCTATATTTCCGGTTCTAGTAGAGTAAGGGGCTTAAAATTCTGGATTCAATTACAACACTTCAATAACTTATATACCAAAATTTAACAAAATCTGAGATGGCTTGTTGTAAAGTGATTGATTTGATATTTTGATGAGAGGTGATTATGTTTTTTCCGAAGTATAAATTTAATACCTTTAGGCGCGTACGCAGATGGGGGGGGGGAAGGGGAACAAATCCCTCCCCCTAAGCCAAAAAATGCAGATGCCGGATATATTTTTCAAAAATATTATTGTTTATATTAATTTATATTTGTTAATATTTATTCCTATCTCATATTAAATATTTAATTACATTTATTTATCACATTCATCTACTAAGTTATTTTATCAATTAATTTCGATTTCAAGTTTTCCGGCGTGATATTTACTTATTATTTTCAAATTTTTAGTGGCGTAATATTTATCTACCATTTTCAAATTTCTAGTCAAATATTGTTTCTGAAACTCCTTGTCCAACAGGGAGAAAGAAATTGCAAGCTTGTCCAACAAGATAGTCTTCGCCATCAAGCAGTAACAGCTTTTATGGAGTTAGAAGAACCGATTATTTGCTATTACTGAAATATCACAATGGCCTGAAAGAAATATTTACTCAGAAGCAAGAAAATTATTGGATTCAATGCTTATTCCAAATTTTTTTTCTCATTAGAATGTATTATTTAATTATACAACTATATGTAATACTTTTCAAAAACATGACATTGACTTGATTAAGAAAATAAGATTAGCGGAGAGCATTTTATTAGAACTCAAGGAAATTAGGGCTAATGTTGATGAAGAATTTCATATTTTATATGTTATTGTTGAGTCAAAAGCAAAGCTATATGTGTTTAATATCTGTCTCCTTCGACTTGCAGCAAGGCAAGCTCATCGTTAAAACATTAATATATGATGAGTAGAAGAGTATTACAAAACAGATGTCTCCTCTCTTAGATACATTTTTAACCCAAATAAATTAATGGTTTTTAATTCATTATGCAGCACTTATCTGTAGATATTACTTCCAGAAAAGCCTTACCAACCTTTTTCAGATGGTGATCGAAAAAAAAATATTTGTTAAATTTTTATCATAAAGATGTTAAAGTATCTTATGATGTCTTATTAGCTGAATAACTATATTTATAAAATTAACTATGGTTGATATAGTCCCAAAAAATGCTATGGATGCTTTGCATTTCAAACACATTTAAATTATATTCCCAATGTTTTAAAAGGGTTTATATATATTAGCAACTCTTCCCATTAGTAAACTAATGAGAGAATATTCTCATTTTTAAGAAACAGAGCCCTGCAGAGGTATCATTTGCAGGGCATGGCCCGGATTTTTTTTAAAATTTTTTATGGCCCGGTTCGGGTTTTTTTTTAAAAAAATTCAGGCCCTTTCCGGCTTTTTTTAAATAAAATTTTCAGACCCGGCCCGGATTTTTTTAAAATAAATTATATTTCTTTTTGATTTTTATAAATAATAACGATTTCAAATTTAGGCTGTTTTAAAATATATAACCCGGCCCGGATATTTTTTAAAAAAAATTCGGGCCTGGCCCAGGTATATTTAAAAAATTAAAATACGGTCCGGCCCGGGGCCGGGTCTGCAGGTCTCTGAAAAACATACCAAGAAGTACAACTTCTGAAAGTGGATTGAAAGGTTTGAATCTTTTGAATATTCATAGGCATTTGACGACAAGCAAGGATGAGATAATTGAAAAATTAGCTCAATCCCAACGAAGATTGGATTTTACATGTAAATATATAACATACAAAATACAATTATTCCTAAGAAACATTTTGTGTATTAATTTATATTTCCAACATTTAAATTTTTTATGTATAAATTTTAAAGGGTCAAAAAATTCAAATTTCTATTTTGGGTCTTTAAGTGATTCATAAAGTGTATTCACTTTATATTTTATAATTGACATTTATTTTATAGTTTTTCTATACCGCCAGTTATATCCGTTTAATATTTTTTAATTCACATTTATTTTATAGTTTTTTATATGATGACGGTTTATACGTATAATTTTTTTATAATTCACATTAATTTAAAATTGTGTATTAGAAATAGTTATTAGTTCTAATAAATTTATGCTTGGTATTTTTAAAAAACAATAATATTTCTTAAAAAATTTTATTACCCCCTCCCCCAGACCAAATTCCTGCGTATGCGCCTTACCTTCAATGAACAAATAATGAAACATATTTGTAAATATATATTGTTTATAGAATAAATAGATTTCATAATATTTGCAAAATTGTCTTTATGTGCATAATCCTTTTGACTAAATATTAATATATTTATATTTGTAATTTATGACCTAAAAAATTTAATCTTGCTTGATAAAAGTTTGGCTCTATTTGAACCGATTTTTAAAAACGGCGAATTCAATTTATCAAAAAAAAAATAACGTAACCTGAAGATATTGCTCAAAAATGGCATAAAGTTTTTTGAACATTTATTAGTGAAACCTCAAGGCTTTGGCAATATTTTTCTGGCTAAAATCTTGAGATGGTCGTTTTTTTAAATCGGCTCAAATCCAATTTAATAAAACGCTAAACCTTATTTCCTATTTTTTATTGCCACACAAAACCCTCATCTAGCAAGATTAAATTTTTAAGATCATACATTACTATTTAAAAAATTTAGTAATCTAATCAAACTATCTTCTTTTATATAAAGAAAATTTTTTTTATTCATGACATTTTATAAAATTAAACCTACTCGTTTTTAATATTATATATAATAAAAGATATTTTATAATTAAAAAAAGTTTTACCTAAATTAGCCTCTTTTCATTTCATATGAAATAAAATATGCGCATTTTTTGGATAATATGTCTATTCAAATTCTTTTAATTTACTTTTATATGTCAATAAAATAAATATCAGCCCGTATATGTGACTGAGCCCTTTAATTAAGGGCTAGAAATGAGCAAATTTTTAAAGGGCTCAAATTTTAAGAAATTTGGTCTGATCAGGCTCAATTTTTTTTTAAATTGGGTCTGGCCAAAGGTATTTAAAATATTCTAATAATAAATAAAATTTCTCATTAAGATAAAACAATTAGGATTGCTTTTTATTTAAATTCACATAGATATTTATTTCAAATTTTCAATTGAGCCAGGTCAGAGTTAGGTCTAATAAAAAAAATTTGCCAGACTAGGTTCAAGCATTCAGTCAGAGATCTGTATCCAATTTTTCCTAGCCCTGATTTAGAAAACAATTTACTTCAGAACTGCTCAGATTTTTTTTAGATTATATTTGGGCTGGCTTAGCCAAAGTTTCTTTTTAAACTTTTATTAATTTTCCAACCAGCCAACGTTTTTAAAATTTAGTTATTTTCAAGAATTTTACCTGTATTTTGTAAATACAAAAGGGAAAATCAAAGTATAAGAGCAAAATAATATTTATCATGTATTTTTCAACTGAAAATTTTTAAAAATTCAGCATTGGCCTAACTTAGGATTGTAATTAATAGACCTTCCGGTTTGTAAGGAATATTTAATTCTTAAGCATTGGGGTTTGTAAAATTCATTTGGTTCGGCTATAGTGCAGATTTCTGATACATAGACTCATAAAAGCTGGCTAAGAGTTAAATATAATTTATCTCACAAGTCAATGCAGACATTGTGATGATTGGCAAGAGACAAAATTAGGTATATATTACAGTTTGTGAGGAGCCTATAATAGAGCCTTGCAGGTGCAAATTTTTGATCTAAGCCCAACCCTGTCCTAATTATTTAAGCCTTAGTCTGGCCTAAAATTTTTATTTTTAGGCACATTCATAGTCTAAATTAATTTTTTATTTTAGTAAAATAACTAATTGCTTTATCTATCCTAATTCCAGAGAAATTCAAATTATCTTTTTATCTCAAGAATCTATAGCTTAACAAATATCAGTTCAGATTGCAAAATTTTATAAGGGGGAAGAATAAATTTCATGACTAAGTATACTTATATATGAGGGTAGAGACACCATATGCCAATATACATAAAAAAAATTTTAACTGTTCAGATTCAAGTCCTTATTCCATCTTAGAAGCCAAAATATCATTTTCTATATTTATTTTTTAAGCCCAAGATCAGCCCAGTTTATTTTTTAATTTAAGCCCAAACCCAGCATAAATTTTTTTTCCAATTTAAGTTGAGGCCCAGTCTTTTTAAATAAAACATTATTCTATTGGAAGCCATGATACCTTATCCCCTTATACAAGCTTACTATAATAGACAATATGATCATAAACAATTATGATCAAATCAAGGAGAAAGTTTAATTTAATTAGTTAAGAGCAAAAAGGTATATTTAGTTTTCTAGTATAGTGGGTCCTATCAGAAAAACAACCTTCTTTCCTTAAATTTCTAACATGTTGGTTTCTATCTAAAATAATCTATTGTTTAATACCTTGGTACCATAATTTAAATATGAATATTGCTAATTTAAAAATTTAATGGAAGATCTTAAAATAATTCCTGTTAAACCTCCTAATTACAAAAATTTTTTTTGATAAACTTATAGATATACCAAATTGTGTAAATATATTAATATATTTGGAAATGGAATCTGGTGATCAGTTTTTTAACAAAGAGAAAATATGAAAAAGTTTAATTTAATTTAAGAGCAAAAAAAAGTATGAAAATTTAATTTGTCTGTTTTCTAGTATAGTGAGTCAGAATTTTTTATCAGAAAAACAACCTAATTTCTTTGTAAATTTCTGATATATTATTTTTTATCTAAAAAAAAATCCATTTAATTTGATTTGGTACTTTAATTAAATATTAATAATGCTAATTTAGATATTTATAATTAAATAGAAGAAAAATTTTTTGATAAATTTAAAATATGCCTGGCCTGAATTTAAAAAATAAAATCCAATTTCATTCCAGCCTAAATTTTATTTTTTATCATTTTATAGCCTGGCCTGGAATTTTAAAATTTTGCTATTAATAATTTGGGTTGTATTTTGCAAATTATGAACATTATATCCTCCATTTTATTATTTCACAAGATTTTCTAAATGATTGATATAATTTGCAAAAATATTTTAAAAAATAAGTCCTAGATTCATTTTTTTTTAATTTTATGACCCAAATACACATTATGCTTTGATCTAGACCTACAAGTCTCAGATTTAAATTAAGAAAAAGTAGTTGAATGATTTAAAATTTAGTTAGTTTAATATTTTTTTAAATAATTTAAACTATTAATAAAATCCAGGTGTATATTTTTTTCACTGTTTATTAAAAAAATTTATAAAACCTCATTACATTTATAAGATATGGTAAAAAATATATTGTTAAAAATTTTCACAGTATTAAAGTATTTAATAAATTGTGATACAAATAAATACCTCGTATTTAATATACTGCTTACGCCATTCTGGAGTTAAATGAGCCTGTAGATGCTCGGTAAATTTCATAGTTAATTATCGCTCTCCCAAAAACGAATTTAAAATAAGAATTAAAAAAAAGGAACAGAAAATTTATAATTTTAATAATGTTGGGTAGCGATTATTTTATTTTAAAGTTTTTTTTTTATTACTCTAACTTCTTTCTTACTCCAGTTGGTTGAATTAAGAGCAAAAATATTAAATTGGTGGTGATCGGTAATGTATGAGTTAACAATCTATATGTTTAAGATAACAGTGAAAAAATATTAATGGTTCTTTGGTCAAATCATGAAGCATTTATATATGCTACATTCAAGCAGGTTTTCGGATCCCATCCATTAAAAAGATACCCCATAAATAAAAATTGAACGAGAATTTGGAGGACCTAATATATTAGACCCACCATGGAAAGGAAAATTGTTGTCATTAATGGACAAGCAATTGATTTAAATAAAGGGAGATATAACGATTAAGGTCAATTAAATTAATTGCAATATATTATATTGTAGAAAGTGATTTGAACAAATTATTTTCATGTAAATATATTATTATGTATATTATTATTAAAACTTTGCTAATTACCATATTATTATTATAATGTATGAAGAAAAAAGGGTATTTTTTTACAGGGCAAACCTCTTGTTATTATAATTGAATATTCAAATTATTTAATATCTTAAATTTATTTACGCGATACAATAAATATGAAAATAACGTTGAAGTCAATATATACTGTAAATTTAATTTCTTTTTCTTACATTATGCTTGCAGAATTGAGCAGTACCGTAAATATTTTATCTTCTTGTATCTTGTACTTTTTGACATTTTAATAAGTTACGTTACTTGTATTCATATCTATTATACTTTCTTTCAGAAGATTCTTTATCTTTTATATTTTCTTGACAAAAGATAGCGATACATATTGTATTGTTATTTAAAAAATTCAATAATCACCAATGACATATATTATTATTATATGATAATCACATATAAACTTATTTTTCATGGACTATTGTAATATAAAAACTAAAAAATAAATAAGCATACAATACATATATTAATGTAACACATAGGCGTAGCCAGGGGGTGGGGCAAGGGGAAATCCCCCCCTTCATAAATTTATCACTTTTTGTAAATATCATTTTTAGCTAATAAAAAAATATCCCCCTTAGTCCTCCCCCAACTCCGCATATATCTTATATAATAGTTTAAAAGAAAGAATGTAAAAGATGATATTTTTTTATTAAACTATTCATCATAATTTATAGATTTTTGGGAAAATAAATTTATAAATATGTAAAATGAACCAAAAATGTTTTTTAATAAATAGAATATAAGCCAAAGATAAGTCTTAAGACAAAAGTGAAATGTATTATCTTTCTAATAAATCCATAAAATTACTAAATAATATAATATATAAAATATAATTTTTTATAAAGTGAGTAATTTTAATTAATTTATCCCAATAAAAGTAAAATATAATTATAAAATTATTGATAAAATTAAGTCATAAATTAAAAAAATAATAAAGCACAATACAAACAGTGGAATATTATATGTCGTAGATTTACAGTATATCTAATTATCAAATGACAATCAAGTAATTTTTACCAATATAGCGATTTATATATTTTACTGAAAACTATAAAATATTGATAAGGACATCAGAAAATATCTTTTAAAGACATTGTGGGATGAATAATATGAAAATTAAATTTAAAATATTATATATACTTAAAATAAATAGATGGCTTTAATAATTGAATGCAAATTGTTGCTATATTTAATATCAAGAGCATTGATTAGTAAAATTTGTTAAATTATTAACTGTAATATATTCTCTAACTGTCAAATATGTCTGTAAAAGTGGAATTTTACCTAGTATTTTATAACTAATTCTATATAATAGAGTAAAATCAACTATATATCTACTTACTTTTTATAAATAAATTTCTTATAATTGTTTGGAATAAATCAGAGACCTGCAGGCCCGGCCCTAAACCCGGCCCGGGCCGTATTTTAAATTTTTTAAATATACCCGGGCCGAGCCTAAGAAAATATTTTTTAAACATATCCGGGCCGGGCCTAAAAAATTTTTTTTAAATATATCCGGGCCGGGCCAAAGATTGTTAAACCCTGGCCGGGCCTTAATACTTTTTATAAAAATTTTTACATTATGAGTTAATGATTATAAGATTATATTATATTATAGTTATGATTAATATAATATTGGGTGATGGTTAAACTACCTAACACCCACAGATCGATCTAATTATTAATTTCCTGCAAATTTATTCAAAGTATTAATATATTTTTTTATAATTCATATCTAAATTTTTACAACACATTTTACCAAAACAATCAAATAAAGGAATATCTTAAATAAGCCCCAATATTCAAGTATTATTAATATATTTTTTTATAATTCTTATCTAAATTTTTAGAATATATTTTACTAACACAATCAAATAAAGGAATATCACTTCTTGAAGTTTGTAATACCTTTCAAAGCGAAAAAGGAAAAATAAAATTGATTTTACTTAATATAAAGCAATTTTTAATTGAAAAATTTGTTTTACACAAGTATCATTTTATTTCTCTTTTTCTCTGTCCCAAATTCAAGCAATTACGTATGTAGTCAGGGACAGATCGCAAGATGACGGAAAACTATATAAAAGATTATATTAAATTACAAGAGGCTCAGGAAGTAAATGAAATACCATCGACCAGTCAAATTACGACTGTTGTTAAACAAACTGAATCGTTTTATGACATATGGGGTGATGGTAATTCTGGTAATATGTCAATACCCGATGATGAATATTATAATTACATAAATAAAAAAATAGATGAAACATTTAAGGTGGATAATTTGTTAGAGTGGTGGGCGGCTCATCAAAGCGAATTTCCAATTTTAGCAAAATTGGCGATTCCTGCTTCAAGTGCAAGCTGTGAGCGGAATTTTTCCACTACTGGGAGAATTCTTGAAGAAAGAAGAAGTAATCTTCAACCTGAAAAGGTAGATATGCTTCTCTTTCTTCATGATAATTTGTGAATTTTTAATATCTTTCTTGAGTATAGGGTTTCGTCAATCATGCTTGTTTTTTACTTTGCAAACTGTCAAATATTTATTGCATTTATTATATTTACCTTGAGTCATGAAAGTTTTTAATCCAACATTTTTCATTATTTTTTTTTACAATATTATATAATACAATTATCTTCTTTTGTTAAAAATTTATATTATAAAATAAATTATATTAATATTGTGCAATTAGATTATATTTTCAAAATACTATTTATTATACATGCATATTTTTAAATAGCGATTTATTTTTATTTTATAAAATTAAATAGTAAATTAAATACATTATATTATATTCTCAAAATATTTTACATTTTTATAAATTAAATATTAGTTTTACATTTTTATAAATTAAATATTAGTTTTATTTTTTTTAAATGCAATATAAAATAAAGTATATGCTCAAAATATTATTACCATTTTTATGAATATTAGTTTTATTTTTATAAATGCAATATATAATATAGTATATGCTCAAAATATCCATTTTTATAAATAAAAGTTTTATCATTTTTATAAATTCAATATAATATTTTCAAAATATTAGCTTTTTACATGTATTTTTTAAATAATAAGCGATAATACTCGCTGAAAAATATGGTAAAATACCTCATAGGTGAATTTTTGTATATACCAGGTCGAATATAATTTTAAAAAATTCCGAGCCGGGCCTGAAATTTTTAAATCCGGGCCGGGCCGGGCCGTAAAAATTTTTTTTAAAAAATATCCGGGACGGGCCTGGCCTAAAAAATCTAAAACCGGGCCGGGCCCGGCCGTGCAAATGGTACTTCTGCAGGTCTCTGTAATAAATTATTACCATGCTTTTATATTAAGGTATATACAATATAAGTAATTTATTATTTTTATTTTATATAAACTAATAAAAATATATTTCATATTTGTTCCAGGCTTATTTTTTTTATATTTGTAAAAATATTTTATGACTATATATAGACTAAAGTAACCCGGCCAGTAATTTTTTAATTTCGCCCCCCCCCCTTATGAAAATCCTGGCTACGCCTATTATGTAACAGAATAAATATCAACATTATTTTTTAAAAGATTTATTTAATAAAATTTTATGAAAAGGTTCAAATAAAATTTTTGATCAAATTTTTCCTAAAATTCGAAATATTTTTTGTAAAAACTCTTTGCAATAAAATCTTTGTGATTTTTATGTATAAAATATTTTTCATGATGAAATTTCAAATTTTCAAAAAATATTTTTTAATCTTCTTTAAAAATATTCAATTTATATGTTCTTTTAAGATTTATTGGCAAAAAAATATTCAAAAAAAATACTTTTTTTCCTGAATTAATCTTAAAATCATTATTATAATTTTCCGATGTCCTTCACTAGTCATCATTACGTCATGTTATCGCTACTCCGTGTCATCGCTATCAGCGTCTACATGACAGGATTTTCATTGGATGCAAACCCCCTTCAAAAACCTTTGCCTCCCCTATATTATTTTCACCTATTTATTTATTATACTTTTTTCAAAGAATTTATAAAGGATAACTTAAATTAATCTATCTTTACCAACTATCGATATTTTGTGAATATAAAGAATTTATTTTTTAGATAATAAAGAATTTATTTTTTAGATAATAAGAAATTTATTTTTTAGATAATAAAGAATTTCTTTTTTAGATAATAAAGAATTTCTTTTTTAGATAATAAAGAATTTCTTTTTTAGATAATAAAGAATTTCTTTTTTATAAAAAATTTATTTTTTAGATAATAAACAATTTAATTTTTAAGATAATAAAGAATTTCTTTTTCAGATAATAAAGAATTTCTTATTTAGATAATAAATTCAATTAAAACCTCCATTATTTACAATGAATTAATTATTATGGCATTATGATAGTTTATTTGGAAAACAATGTGTATGATTGTTTGCAATATATAGATTTGGTCGATGAATTGTATTAAAATAATACTATAATAAAATTATTAATTTTTAAGCATTAAATTTTGTCCTATTTCATCTGAAAATTTA